GGAGGAGGAGAGGGGAGGAGAAGGAGGAGAAGGAGGAGGAGGAGGAGGAAGAGGAGGAGGGAGCAGCAGGAGGAGGAGGAGGAAGAAGAGGAGGAAGAAGATGATGATGAGGAGGAGGAGGAGGGAGGAGGAGGGAGGAGGAGGAGGAGGAGGGAGGAGGGAGGAGGCAGGAGGCAGGAGGGAGGAGGGAGGAGGGAGGAGGGAGGAGGAAGGAAGGAGGAGGAGGGAGGAGGGAGGAGGGAGGAGGGAGGAGGGAGGAGGAGGAGGAGGAGGAGGAGGAGGAGGAGGAGGAGGAAGAGGCGGAGAGGGGGAAGTGGACAAGGAGGTGGAGGAGGGAAGAGGCCCTCGGTGCACGCGAGTAGAGCAACAAGCGTTTGCATGGAATGCGAAAGCCTCTGAGTGGAATGACCTCTGTGGGGTGTCTCGACCCCTCGATGGACCAGGGTGGAAGACATCGGCCAAAAAGGGGGGCGGCGCCGTTCAGCCCTGCCCTTCTGGAACATGAGAAATCAGCTCTTGGAGCGCTCTTGTGGGCCCTCGGGGCCGTCTTGGACCTCTTCTGGGCCCGTCATGGGGCTCTCCTGTGCCACCTGTGAGCGGCTTTGAAACCTCCCAGGCCCGCCGGATGAGAAAAGGCGACAAGGCGACAGCACACCGAAACACCGTAGGTATTTGAAGGACGTGGGGCCATCGCAGGTATCCTTGGGAGGCTCCGAGGCCACTGGGAGCCGCCTTGGAAACTATTGGAGGCATGTTGGGGAGGGCACCTTGCCTTGAGCCATCTTAGGCAATAGCGTGCCATCTTGGAGCCATCATGGACGCATTAACTTCTCGCGCCCCCCCGTCCAGACACAAGGGGAGTGAGGAAGAACATGGGCATACCCTCAACTGAAGGGGATGGCGGGGATTGGAAGAGGAAGCGCCTTGAACCACCTACGCTAGGTTTGCGCCGAGACGATGCGGCGGCGACCACAGCGCGGTCGTTCAAGGCGGGACGCCGCCACCGGCCCAGAATCGGCCGACATCTAGCAATCCGCGCGTCTGGAAGGCTGCGATCGTCCAGGGTGGAGCGACCCACGCGATGTCAGAAGCCAATGCCGACGTCCTCACGGCACGAGCCTGCCGTGTGCCCCGAGGGTTGCCGGGATCTGCTCGGGAGACATCTCTCCAGTGGCAGCCCGGTCCACCCACGACCAGGCGGTTGCCGCAGCTCCCCTCGGCGGCAGCGTGAGGGGGGGGGATCGTCCCCAGGGGGAGGCGCATCGACCCCTGATCACCCATCCATCGGCAGGCGATCGCAAGCATGGATCAAGGGGGCGTGGGTTAGCGACGGGTCCCGTTTCCAGGAGGAATCGCGGACTTCCGCCGCCGAGCGAGGCGGCATCGGCCGCACTCTGGGGAGGCCACCTCCCCAGATCCATGGATTTGGCGACCGCGCGCCAAATCCATGGATCGCTAATCCATGTTTGCGCGCCCCCGACATCGGCGCAAGGGGCCCAACAACTTCGCCCAGGAGCACGCAGACTTGCGCTCGGAGCTCGTGGTGGGCACGTCACGCGGGAAACCGGCCTGTCAGCAGCATGGCCCCCCATGGAAGTCTCCCGATGGTTCTTGGGGCCCGCGGAAGCCCTGGGGCACCCCCGGGAGCTCAAAGATCGGCGAAGACTGTGCCCCAGGATGTCTCATAGCAGGATTCCCCACAGAGGATCTCGGCCCTCGGGCGGCGCCCTGACTGGGGGGTGACCGCGGAGGCCCCGTGCTCAGCCCGTCGGGTGCGGGCTCTTTTTCGACCCGTATGAGAGGGACCACGCTTTTGGAGCGAGGCGTGAGCGCGCAGAGCCGAGCGCAAGGCAGGGTTTTTGTTTTGCCAGCGGCACGCCAGTGTTCGAACAGCATGGAACTTGGCATCGCGAGGACCCTCGAGGACCTTGCGCATTACTTTCTCGCCGAGGACCCTCGAGGACCCCCGCGCTCGAACAGCCCGTGCACGAACTTCTCGGCGAGGACCCCCGAGGAGCCCACTGGGCGATCCTGCGAACACAGAAAAATAACTACGCGCACCGAGCCGACGCACGTGCACGGGGCAAGGACGCCCGAGCGGTGTGGCGAGGACATGGCCCCCTGGGCGTAGGTCGGGCGTGTCCCTCCACAGGAGGAATATTCAAAAATCGTCAAAAATAGTCTGGGGACGATTTTTCGATTATGTTTACGCTTTCGTTGAGCATGCTTGAAGTATGTTTTATTATTCGTCCAAAGTCCGCCTGTAGGGGGACATGCCCGACCTAACCCTAGGCGGCTGCGTTGTGTTTCAATGACAAAAAAAACAGCCTGGGGACGATTTTATGAGTACTTTTTGGAAATGTTGGAGTGTTGTTTGAAGTGTGCTATATTTGTCGTCCAAGATCCGCCTGTAGGGGGACATGCCCGACCTGACCCTAGTTGGCTGTGTGCTGTTTAACCAAAAGCCAAAAAATAACAAACAAACAAAACAACTGTTTCTACTCCTTGCTTAGTATGTCTGCGCATGTTTGAAGTATGTCCTATTTTCCGTCCAAGATCCGGCTGCAGGGGGACATGCCCGACCTGACCCCAGAAGGCCGTGCGTTTTTTTGATATGAGCTGCTTCGCGGACCGGCGCGGGCCCGCGGCACGCCGCACCCCGCCCGCCCCCCTTTTTGAGCAGATCTCGGCTGCTCTGGGCGGCTGCTTCTGGGGACTGGTCTCAAGTCGGGCCTGTCCCTCGACAGGGGGGAAATCAAAAGATAGTTTAAAAACATAGTCTGGGGAGGAGGTTTTGACTATGTTTGGAATTTGTTGACGTGCGGATGTTTGGGGCATGTTTCATTTTTCGTCCAAAATCCCCCTCTAGGGGGACACGCCCGACCTAATCTTGGCTGCGTTGAGCGGCTGCTGGGGACTGGTCGGGACCCCCAAGCTGCTCGCACGACGGGCAAAACCAGATCGGCGGAGCACACACACACACTTTTGGTGTCGGCGGCTAGGCAGGGACGATTCGCGCCTCACTGCCTCACACATACACACACCTTGACCAGATTTTGGCTGCTTTTAAGCGACTGGTCAGGACCCCCCCTCGCAATCTGCTCGCGCGACTGGCAAAAACATATCGACGGAACACAGACACAGACACACACACACACACACACACACACACACACACACACACACACACGCATACACACACACACACTTTTTGTACGTCGGCGGCTAGGCAGAGTGACTGCGCTGACGGATGGGGCAAATGTAGGGCATAGGATTGCTAATGAAGCCACGATGCGCGTGTGGTACACGCACACACACAGACACCTTGGCCAGATCTTGGCTTCTTTTGGGCGACTGGTCAGGACCCCCCCCTCCCAATCTGCTAACATCAGATCGACGAAACACGGGCCCAGACCCCCCCCCTTCCCCCACCTTTCGGCCAAATGTCGAAACCCAAAATGAAGTATGCAGCACCCCGCAACTGCGGACAAGAGTGAGGGGGCGGCGCGGTCGTCGGCAGTCTGCGAAGCTCTGAAGAAGCCCGCCGCGGGCGCTCACATCCCCGCAGGCGCCGATTTTCTCATCAGAGCAGTTCGGGTGGGTTGCGGGCGAGGCCCGGGCGAGGACTTGTCAGTGTTCTGAGGTGTCCTCGACGTCGAGTCTCAAGGTTTCTTCCTCGACTAGGGCCCTCGGAGGCCGCTTCCGGGCCCCAGGACCAAGAATGCACCCGGGGCGTAACCGGTCCCCTGAGGAAGCGGTCGGGACCTCTGTCGGCTACACGCGAGAGCGACTTTTTGCCGGAGGAACGTCTGGTGCGGGCACACTGGGGCCCCCTGATGGCTGAATGCGATGCGAAAGAAGCGGCTTGCGCGGCCCCCGAAAGTCGCGCACAGAAGGTCAGTCAGTCTTGCCTGAGGTCACTCTCACGTGCAGCCAACCTCCGGGGCCTCGGATTGGAGAGCCATCGTCGGCGGACGTTGAGGTCTAGCGCCAGGTGGACTTGCAGCAGCGGTCTGGAGAGGCACGGGCGACGACGGAGGAGGACAAGGGAAGGAAAGCGGGAGAAGCGGCAGCAGGCGGAGGAGCAGGAGGAGCAGGTGAGCTACGGAGAAAAGCGGGTTCGCTTGCGCCGGCATTGGCGCGTAAGCCGTTCGCGCAAGGTGGCGCGTAGGCGCCTTCGTTTCCAGCGTGCCGTGCCGCGCTGGCGGTCCGCGGAAGCCACCGCGTGAAGTCCCTATGCCATCTCGCGCAAGACTCGTTTCTGATCGTCGCGCAGGTGCAGGAGGAGCAGAAGCAGCAGCAAGGTGGCTGCAGGGAGACCCACGACCACCATCAGCTGCAGCAGCAGGATGAGGAAGAGGAGGAAGAGGAGGAGGGGCCTCTGTTGGTGCCCAGGCCCAGAAAGGTCCCAGATCACCAACACCTCAGCTGCCTCGATGCGCCCGTCCTGACATGCAACGCGTGCCGTGCCTAAGACGTCGGGGTCAATACGATGCGTGCTGGCTCGGCGTATTGGCCCACGTGTTGGCGAACGTTGTCGTGTCAGACCCACGCTTTCAGTCTACGTGTTGAGCTCCGTATCGATACGGTGCATGGTGCGCGCTGCGTATCGGGGCAGCTAAGCTTAAGTCGGGCCTGTACCTCTACAGGAGGAATATTCAAGATTAGTCAAAGAATTAGTATGGGGACGACTTTTCGACTGCTTTTGGATATGTTTGCATACTTTTTGACTACTTCCCATGTTGTTCCCCAAAAATCTGCCTGTAGGGTGACACGCCCGACCTAAAGCCAAGACCGACGCCTCTCGATGCCATGGACCCTCGGCCGTGGACCCTCGCGACCGCCGTGGACCCTTCCCATTTTGTCCCCCAGAAACCGGCCTGTAGGGGGACACCCCCGACCTAAAACTAAGACCAACGCCTCTCGCTGCTTGACCTTCGGCCATGGGCCCTCGCGACGGCTGCTGCACTGCCCGGCCACCGAGGCCCATCCGCTTCGGGGCCGCCGCCTCAGCCGCGCGACGATCGGTGAAGGGCGTCGGACGAGGCCACCCAGGACGAGGCACCCAGGACGAGCACGAGGACGAGAACGCGAAGGAGAAGAAGGAGGAGGAATAAAAGGAGGAGGACGAGGAGGAGAACGAGGAGGAGGAGGAGGAGGAGGGCGGAGGAGGAGGGCGGAGGAGGAGGAGGAGCAGGAGGAGGAGGAGGAGGAGGAGGAGGAGGAGGAGGAGGAGGAGGAGGAGGAGGAGGAGGAGTGGGAGAGGGCAGGAAGATAATGATCGGGTTGGGAGGGTGGGGCTGGGAGAAAAGAGGGTGTCCTTACCCCTAGGCGGCCGAAGGTATCGTTCGTTGCGTGCGGATGCTATTGCTCATACGCTTCATCCTCCCAGTCCCTTCCCCCCGACACGATGACTGATCGCCTCAGAAGGTCGCGGCGCTCGGGACATCCTAAAGAGCCGCCGTATCTTAGAGATTCTCGATTTTCAGGCGGGACAAAGCACGCACACACAGGCACAGATGAACGCTGACTCCGAGGAGAACATGGAAAACATGGGAAGCGGAGGGGAAGACGGAAATCCAAAGCAAAATTATAGAAATGAGGGGATCATAGTATTCGTGCCTGTTTATTTTGTGTGTCCCTGGGCCCCCTGCAGTTTTATCCTCACCCGATCTTATCCTCGTCCTGGCCTCTTCTGGGGGCGCCTGCCATACATCCGCACCAGTCCTGGCCGGGCCGATGCCGGGCTCGGGCTTTGGGTCGGCGTAGTTGTGTGTGTGTGTGTGTTGCCTGTCCAGGCCTGGAGGGCCTACACAACGACTCGAGTAGGGGATCGACTACAGAATCGGTCCGCCCACAAAAGTTGATTCGTGCATCGAGTCTGTAAAAGAGCACGTAGAATGCTTGCCATATACAGTTATGTCGGGCACGTCCCTCTACAGGAGGAATATTCAACAATAATCAAAAATTGTCAGGGGACGATTTTTGTCAGCGTGTTTTGATGATTTGGGGTATTCTCTAATATCTTTGATTTTTCGCCCCAAATCCCCCTGTTGGAGGAGGGCTTCTTAGAAGCACCCCTGCTTCTCGGAAGGCGCGGCCCTTCTCTATCCATGTAAGGCCGGCGCCTCCTCAGAAGCAGCCTCTTTCCAAGGAGCCCTCCCCCCTCCATCCACGCCCTTGTGCGCGCCGCCAGTTTTCGGGGGCGGACCGAAGCCCCACCCTGACACGTCGATTAGCTAAGTGTCCGCTGTTGGTTCTCGAGAGGGCGCCGCGGCCGTCGTTTTCCAGGCCGCCGCCCGCCAGGTTTGGGCCCGAGGCCGCTTTCACGAAACCACGCTTCGCCAAAGGGGGGCCCCGTCCATCCCCGACTCTCAGCTGCCTCGATGCGCACGCTTTGACACGCCACACGTGCCGTACTCGAGGCGTCCGTGTCAATACGCTGCGTGTTGGCCCCACGTCTTGGGCCACGTTTTGGCGAATGTGCCGCGTCGGGCCTACGTTTTCGGCCTGCGTGCTGAGCTCCGTGTCAGTACGCCACGCGCTGCGTGCTGCGCATCCGGCCAGCTAGGCCCCGACTTTGCCCCTTGGGATGCGCTCTCCGCCCCCGGGCCGTCGTCTGCCGGCCGCGGGCCTGGCCAGGTGCGGCCCCGGAGGCCGAGCGCGGCCGACGAGGTTCCTGCCCTGACTTATGATGCTAAGGGCGAGGCAGTTCTGTCTTCGCGCCGAATAAAATCAAAGTACGTCGGAATTTGAGTTTGGCCAGGGTAACGCATCCATATAGAAAGTGAGCCCCCAGACCCATACATCAGACCTCAAATGTGAGTTTTCATTTCTGGGAGTGGGTCGGGCACCCCATGCTTGACAGCTGCGTCGGGCGAGCATTACTGCACGAAGCTTGCTCCGACCGTTGCGCGCGAGGGTGCGGCTATATGAATGCGGATCCGATCTCATGAATTTGGGCATATCGTTCCACTGAGCGTGTTGCTTGCTGCTGGGGGAGGTGAGGCGGAGGTGGGGGCACTTCTGGAGGTCACCTAGAGCTCGGCCAATAGAGAAGCACAAGAGATAGCTGACAGTCGCCGTTACAATAAATGCGGAGGTGCAACATTGGAGGTGACAAAAGGACGGGTAGGATGACGAAGAAAGGGGGGCTCGGGAGGCTCTCGGGGGTGGCGACGAGGAAACTGGGGAGGTGCAAGACATGTAGATGAGATGAGATGTAGGAAGAGGGCTGTGTCGGAGGGTGTGCAAGCAACAACTTCTCAGCAATACACGTTGCATGTCTAGTTCGGGCCCATGAGAAACGCAGCCAACACCCATCAAACATACAGCGCGCTTGCACTCGCATCAACACGTCACACCCCATAACAGTGTCGCCCATGTCACCGCCACCTCCGAAGCCCATTTTGGCTTTACCTCCCGTTGCAAAGAATTCAACTTTCGAAGTGGGGCTTCGAGGGTTGCGCCTAGATGGATGGAGAGCCAGATGACGGATGGGCTCAGCTAGCTGCCCCGCCCTCTCATGCTGCCGAGCTCCCGTTGGTGCCCGCGCCACCGACAGCCCCGGTCGATGATACGGGTTGGGATGACCTTGTGGCACCAACGGTTGCAACGGGGGAGACAGCTGCAATACCCGACCTCGGAGACAGCATGGAATTCGTTGTAGCGCCAGGTCCGAACCCACCTGAAGAACTTCATATCGTACCAGGGGCCCCTCCAGAACAACACCTGGGGCCACTGCCAGTTCCCAAGCGCGGGCGTGGACGACCCCGAGCGCAAGCACGAGAAGACGTAGTGGCCCTTGCAGTTGCCCCAGCACCTGTTCTTGAAGCTTCGCAGCAAGCGTGCGACTGGTTCCCGCCCGTTGGTGGCGGAAACCTATCGGACTTGACCATTGTGCAAGACGTGTCCCGCCACGCGTTGGTCCCCGCCCTGGTGTCGGGCCTCGTTGTGCCGAGGGCCTACGAGACAGCACTGATTGCAGCATCACATCTCACGAATAATCAGAGCATGAACCCAGACATGACCACTTTCATTCGGCACGAGACGAGAGGCGACATCCCTCACCGTACCGCGTCGCAGATTGTGTTGGCCGATCAGCTCAAGGTCGAACGACGTCATATCCAGCGGTACGGCGCGATACTCAGCGGCGCGATCCATTGTGGTGAGAGGATTGAGTACAAGACAGTGGTCAGATGTTTGTCAATGGCACCCGGTGCAGTTGTAGAGAAGCTTCAGGTATTCGAGGCGTCCGAGTACGATGAGACACCCATGGAGACGACGATCAGCCACAACGACCAGCACCTACATATCAAAGACAGCCAGCCTGCGTTAGCCGATGATGAAGGCGCTGGCGAAGGTGACGGCGCGCTGGTCCCGTACACCCCGCACGTCCTTGTGAAGCTGGTCCGAGGCAAAGCTACTCAGAAAATACTGCAGACACAATCCCGCAACACGTTTACCGTGTATTTGCCCACCACGTGCACTTATGCTTCGATCATCTTCCCGACGACGTGCCATTTGCAGTTCTTGGCCAGGAACACAGGCGAGTGCATTGCCAAAAGCTTGATGCAGCAATCGACCCTCGCCCATGACGCCCAACAGTTTGCTTCAAAGGCCAGGGGGTGTACTACCGATCGGGGGTCTGGAAATCATCGGGCCGAGTTGGGAGTACGCCTCGCTCGTGGGGACGGTTGGTCTAGCTCGACAGTATATTGTGCATTACATTTGTGGTATGGTTGCTACACCTGGACGTTCTTGGGCATTGAAGAGATGAAAACGAACACGAACGGCATCAAGTCCATGTACAAAAGCTTCAGGGTATCGAGCGACGAGATATTATTTCGGCGATGCATGATAGCTGAGATCATGGAGACAATCACATGGACCGACTTCCCAGCATCAGAGGAAGCAGAGCAATACAAAGACGACGTAAAGAAGTTGTTCCTGAGTAGCGGTCAGAGCTTACATGCCAGACGTATTATTCTAGATCCGCTCCCTGACGGCGATTGGCGAGACCGAAAGCGAGTTCACGTCAGGAGGAAGGCTGGAGCAAATGAAGCTACAGTTGCCAAGGACATCGCACATGGCATTACCGCCGCACTCTTCGGCAAGAAGTTTGATCAGTACCCCGGGTCGCGATGGAAAGGCTTTGAGATCACGCAGGATCAACAAGGTATTTGCGATGCGTGCCACGGGCTACTCACGAGGACCTACAGACGGTTCTGTAAAGAGCACGGCGACATTCAAGGGCCTGGTCGAGGCGTGGTGGGCTCACCAGCACTTGAAGATGACCCTGATGCAGCCATGCCCGTTGGCGGTGGCCACGCCGATGCATTGCACCATCCAGCTGCCGAACCAGAGCACCAAGCAGCGAGCAGTGGCGGAGCGCCAGACTGGAAGAAGGTCAACGCAGCTAATCGTAGAGCTGCCCTTAGATGGGTGGAGCCGAATGGCGTCCTTGGTCCACTGGTGGCGCAGAGAAGGGCAGCAGAAGTATTGCGAAAAGCGTTCTCCCACCAATTCGACTTGAGCTCGGAAGATTGGGAATGCCGTCAACGAGGGCTGGCGGCTCAGCAAGCCTTGAGTGGAGATCCGATTACTAGAACGTACCGAGTCGTTGAGGCAGCGAGGTGCACGCACGGCAAGCAAGCGATTGAGGACGTGATCGACCTTCTGACGGACGAGACGAAGTGGCGGTGCCTGCCGCAACATTGCTGCACTGTTGGTTTCAGGTGCCTTGTGCAGAGGATATGCATTCGGCTTGGCAGCTGCGTCGAGGAGTTCCTGCTTACGAAGGCTCGCGACATTGAGCTGCAAATCTACTTGCTCTTGGTAGATAGCTTGTTGGCCCCGAAGTTCCGCAATCTCCCAGAGTGCATTTGCAGCCCGTGGGTCTCGGACCTCAGGGACCAGCATCCATCTCTAGAAGGGGCCGCCTTCCTTGCCGAGCTCGAGGCTCGTGCTCTGACGACGGCCATCGACATCGGGCACGTGG